TTCTACATGCCTGCCTTTTCAATCCATCTTATTTCTCTGTGGAAAAATCCAATACGAATCTGTATTTCACGTCGGCTTTGGCTAGGCGTTCCATGTCGGTGTTGACATAGTCCATCGGCACAATCTCAACATCGGGCGTGATGTTATGTTGGCTTGAGTCTCCTTTAATTTATTCCAGCGATGCCACTTCATGCAACCAATTTTCTGCCTGCGATCCACAATCAAAACATGAAATTAATGTCATTTAGTTCATTTTAGATCAATGCCAAAGCGGAGCAGAGATATGTACAACATGTGAATGGAAGTGTGGCTAATATTACATACCCATGATCAAGGGAAACGCCAACAAGTCAAGGAGTTTCTCCGGGAGACCAACCAATACAAGCTTACCATTGGTCTTCAATAAGCTTAGTAGTGGCATAAGAGGATGAACTACAGAAACTGTGTCTATTATCCCATCAAGTGTGCTCTTTGTAGCCTTTTTTCTATATATACCAAAACCAATTATAAACCATATCATCATCAAAATTGTTAGCGAAATGAATAATAATACTCTCTAATTATGAATAAATTAATCATAACTTACCTGCATTTGTTCAGGGTCACAACTGATCAAGAAGGAATCAACACCAAAACGTTCTATGGCCTCTTGTTTTTTGTCGGCAGAGGTGCTGATGACAGTAACCCGAAGGCTTTGGTGTACTTGACAAAAACCTTGGATGAGGGGGAGCGCGATGAACAAAGTGATTCTTTCATAGTGTGGGAATGCTCACCTTTTCGATTCAACAACAACAATCCTCAAACCACAATCAATAATCACACAAATAAATCACATAAATCAACCACGATAACAATTATAAACAGAATTTCAAACCTAGATGGTAAGAGAGAGAACTTGACCTGAACGGAGGGTAGAAGGCGTCACGCACAGTCCGGTATCACTGCCTAAGCAAGCCCGTCACTGCCCAAGCCCGCCTGGATCTGTCATCGTTGCTGCTCGATCTCATCCTCACTGTCCATGGTTAAAATTCACTACCCGAACCTCACCTTCGCCGGAGTTGCTGGGTGACCACGGTTGTCAGTTTGCCGGAGAGTTACCGGCTTGCCGTCGCCACTGGATGCTGGCTATTACTCTGCCCGAGCTGCTGGACTTCGCCGGATCTGCCTGCTGTTGCCTGGGGAATCTGCCACTATTTGGGTCATCTTGGCCGGAGTGAAATATGGTCAGACACGGCTATCTCTAAACGTGTTTCCCTTTGTTCTTTCTTGGCTAATGTCCTACTTCACATTCTTCTCCATTCCATCCCATTATCACAACATGACTCTAAGGCAGAGATATCACAGTCAGAAATGTTCACACACAATGACAAAGAACATGACTGGTGTCAATTAACCAAGCATTTAGGGGATTCAACACACATACACAAAATTAGTAAATCCAAAAAATTACAATGGAAAGCACCCTAAAATGAGCAAGAAACGTCATAAAATTGGATTAAACACGAGCACTAACCTGGAGAAAATTTGGTCTACAACCTCACGGTGAACAGTGGCAGCGTAACCCAAATCTGCCAAAACAACAAGAGTCTTCGATTGGAAACAAAATCCAGCTATAGATTCTCTAAATCACACATATTCATCCCAAATTTAACGCTAAAATGGCCAAAACAAGAGAATAATTGCACCTGCGAATACAGAAGTGAACAGTAAACATGATGTTCAAATTAGCCCATATTAGCTTTGAATCAACAACCAAGAGCTCATATGAAGGAAGAATTGTTGAAGACGATACCAACGCATAAAAAATCATCAAGATCGAACCGCAAAATCATGTGTAATGGCAATCTATGCAAAGGGCAAGAACAGTGCTGCGAGAGTAGTTCAAAGGCCTTCGTGGTTTTGGGTGGTGGTCGATCAGGTGGATGAGAATAGAGAAAAAAGATAAGGTTTTCAAAATTTGAAATGAATTGAAATTGGAAGATTTTGAAAATTTTAAATGAAATTGGTACATTTGAAGTGGGATTTTGAAACCTTGAAGAGTGAATTATAAAATTTGAAAAATGCTAGGGTATACCAAATGTGTATCCCATTTATCCTCCACCCCCTTCTTGTCCACAAAAAAGGCAAGAAATTAAAAAAAATAAGTAAATAAAAATTAAAATAAAAATGTGTGGTGGAGAAAGAGGTGGTGTACATTTGGGGTACACCTTTGGTGTACCCCTAGCATTGCTCATAAAATTTTATTGCGGTGAAGATTCATTTTGAAATGAGAAGATATGGAAGCCAAATATTTATACACTAAATGAACTCTTTTACCCTCTCTCTCTCTTTTATCATTTCAATGTCAAAATCTCACCCATCCACCCATTTCTATATTATTTGGGGGTAATTTGGAGAAAAAAAAATATTGACTTGACTCTTCCTTAATATTGTCTAAAAGGGAATATTGTAATATAAAAGGGGACGTAGGGAGTACTACTTTAGTATTTGAATATTTGCATAATTTAAATTTTTACAGTCAATTATTTTTAATATTTAATCTATAATTAAATAAAATATATATTGTGTATTAATTATATAAAATTATAGAGTAATTCCATACAAGGTCCCCAGTTATAGGTCGTTTTACATATTTAGTCCCTACATCTCAAATATTACTAATTTAGTCTCCAATTATAATATTCATTTCCACGAATGATCCTTTGTTAACATTTCCGTTAATAACGTGGATAAAATTGTAAATTCACACTCCTTTCTCTCCTTAATTAAGCTTCCTCCCTCCCCTCAAATCAAATTCAAATCCCATAAGATCAGGTCATATCTTTCATGAAAATCTATTCACTTGTATAGGTTGTGTCCTATTTGCGTGATCTAATCTTTAAACGCATTAAATCAGACCTAATTAGATCGAATTAGACCAAAAAAGATCTAATCTGGTCGAATCAAATTCAAATCAATTAAGATCAGATCAAATCTTAAAAAACAACTCAATTATATTGGTCGTGTCCTTTTTGGCTGATTTAATCTATAAATACATCAGATCAGACCAAACTAGATCAAATTAGACCAAAACAGATCAAATTAGACTAGATCTAATCTAATTAGATCTAATTTGATCGAATCAGACCAAAATAGATCCAATCAGACCGAATCAAATTCGAATCCAATAAGATGAGATCAAAACTTGAAGGAAATCTATTCACTTATATAGGTTGTGTCCTATTTCCCTGGTCTAGTCTTTAAATGCATCAGATCGTACGTAATTAGATCAAATTGGACAAAAACAAATCTAATCGGATCAAATCAAATTCAAAACCAATAAGATCATATCAAATCTTCAAAGAAAATCTAAACTTTTATATAGGTTGTGTCCTATTTTTCTTACGTAATCTTTAAAAGGATCAGATCGGAAATAATTAAATCGAATTAAACCAAAACAGATCTAATCTGATCAAATGAAATTTGAATATAATAATATCAGATCAAATCTTCAAAGAAGATCTATTTACTGAACTGGTTACTTGCACATATCCAATTCTTCTAAATACTCATATTTTTGGCCATATAAGATCTTACAAGTACTGATAATAACAAGGTAATTGTGGAGATCCAATTCTTCTAAATATGTATACTTTTGAGCTAATACAATCTTAGAAGTTCTAATAACTGAACTTGTTACTCACACTGATCCAATTCCTTAGGATACTCATACTTTTGACCGTATAAGATCTTTCCAAGATTGATAATTGAACTGGTTACTTGCATATTTTTGGTCATATAATTAAGATCCCATTTTAGATCTCTCCAAAACAACGTTTTCCTGTATCCCAAAAAGAATTTCTTACTTTGATTAACGTGTAAAACCCCGTGATTTTTAAAATCATATTATTTGCAAATTAGTAAAAAAAAATAACACATAAAAAATTATATATAAAAATTACATCGAAAACTCTACAGAATAAGAGGTGACAAGAGTATTTTATTTTATCAAATGATCAATAACCTTACATATAATTTCACTCGGATCAAATCAGACTAGATCTTAACATATTAGATCAGACAAGATCAGATCAAATAAGATATCATCAAATTACATTAAATCATTGTTGGAATAAATTGGAAGTACATAGAAAAAATGGGAAGTTTTTTCTCTTCCCAATTTCATTCTCCCTCTTTCCAATTATCAAAAAATTCATTTTCCCTCTTCCCAATTTCATTCTCCCTCTTTCCAATTTCATTCACCCTCCTTCCAATTTAATTCTCCCGCTTCCTAATTTCTTTTTTCCTCTTTGCAAGTTGCGTATCACCGCATCTTAATCCATCCAAGTTTCGTATCTCTTCCTCTTTGAGGTGTGGGAACCCAGTGCTAAGATCAATTGTAGACCTCGAAGGTTAAATCTGGGCAAAATTGATGGTCAACCCTCTTGAGTCATTATTCATCTACGACATTTTGAGGATTAA